GCTGAAAAAAAGTGACTTAGGATGGGTTTCCAACAGTGGCGGGATGCTGCCGGTTTTAACATCGCCGGTTCGGTGAGCGCGTGCGCCTAAGGCGCTTGCAAGCACAGCGCTGAAAATGGAGCATTTAGAAGCTCAGCTGCTTCCCTTCCAAGTCAGCAATCAGCTGTGCCGCGTGATTGAGATGAGCTACAAAGCAGGAAATAAAGGACAGGAGAGAGCGGGGGTGGGGGCCAACTGTTCGTAGGAGCTACCGATTTGCCCGAACCGGCTGAATACCACCTCTGGTTTTCACACGGCTGTTGCAGCATCTCCAGGGTCACGCGATCAAAATTCAGATGCTTGACAGCCGATTCATATGTCAGGTTTATGACGGTTGCAAGGTCCCGGTGTGTGTGTCTGTGTGTCTGTGTGTGTGTGTATGTGAGACGTGATTCCCTTTTACGACCTTCTGACAAGCAAAGTCAATGGGGAAGCCAGGTTCAATTCACAACTGGAGCGATTCACTTAACAACCGTGGCAAGAAAGGGTCGTAAATGTGTGAGGCAGAACTCACTTAACAATTGTCTGACTTAGCAACAGAAATTTGGGGCTCAGCTGTGGTCGTAAGTTGAGGGCTTCCTGCATATTTATTTATTTATTTATTGAATTTGTATACCGCCCTACTCCCGAAGGACTCAGGGCGGTGAGCAGCCAAATAAAATACATATAATACAAATGTTAAAAAACCATTAAAATACAATTAAATAATTGGCCCGGAAAACGAAATTTAAAACACCCCAAATTCATAAGACAAATTTAAAATTTTAAAAAATTTAAAAAATAGTTTAAAAGGGAGGTTAGGCCAGGCCGGCCTGCTGGAAAAGAAATGTTTTGATGGCACGGCGGAAAGCGTGCAGGTCCGGGATCCTCCGTATCTCCGGGGGGAGCTCGTTCCAGATGGCGGGTGCCCCCACAGAAAAGGCTCTCCCCCTGGGGGCCACCAGTCGACATTGTTTGGCCGACGGCACCCTGAGGAGCCCCTCTCTATGGGAGCGTACTGGTCAGTGAGAGCCTACTGGTGGCAGAAGGTGGTCTCGTACATACCCCGGTCCTAAGCCATGGAGCACTCTAAAGGTGGTAACCAAAACCTTGAGAGCCTTCTCTGTGGGGGCACCTACCATCTGGAATGAGCTCCCCCGGAGATACGGAGGATCCCGGATCTGCGCACCTTCCGCCGCGCTGTGAAGACCTTTTTATTCCATCAGGCGGGCTTGGCCTAATCTCTTCCCTTTTTTAAATATGTAAATTTTAATCTGTTTTTAAATTATTGGGGTGTTTTAATCTGTCTGGGCCAAAATGGTTTAATTTGATTTTATCTGGTTTTTAAATTTTTTGTATCGATGTATTTTATTGTTTGGCTGTTCACCGCCCTGAGTCCTTCGGGAGTAGGGCGGTATACAAATCAAATAAACTAAACTAAACTAAACTAAACTTGAAGCGCACCCGGAAGACCATCGGGAGCCAGTGCAGCTCGCGCAGGAGGGGGGGGGGTAACCCATATATTCCTTCAGAGTCTCCATGGTGGCTTTTTCCTGTGTGAAGGGCAAGAGAGCTCAACCCACAAGGTTGGTAGGCATGGGGGTGAGCTCTAACGACAAGGCCCATCGCAAGATGCGCAGAACGGACGGCCTGGCATCACTAGCCAAATGCCAAGCAAACCGCCTGATCATACAAGCTGATTTGCCCCCAGGAGGGCTCCGGCTTTGCCAGGCAGCGCAGGGAAACAGCAGCTGGCTAATAAGACTCTTCCATTAAACTCCTAACTAGAGCTTTTAAATGTCGGTTTTATGACACCCAAATTAAAAGGCCGGGCCTGGGCAAGAGGCCCAGTTTGCAGGAGCCGGGCACGGTTCCCGGGGAAAGGCAGAGGGCGGGGATCACACCAGCTGGAAGGGCGAGCCGTCCGCTCAAAGGGTGGATGCAGATACAGAAGAGTCCCCGGCAAAGGAAGCAGATGCAAATTTGGAATGTTGTTATTATATTGGAAAAAATTAAATCTCCCAATAAGGATGACCACCTGCTCCGGCGTTGGCAATTGAGCAACGGGAGGGGCGAGGGGCCAAGAAGATTGGAGATGGCAAATCCTCCCCCTCATAAAATGAAATTTAATGGAGAGGAAAAGTAAAGCTGTGCATTTTATGCAAGAAAAAGCAAGCGGACAGGTATAGAACGGGTGGTACCTGGCTCAGGAGCCTGTAGAGATTCTCAAGTCATCCAGGTCGCGGTGCTTTTTCAGGAGGTAACTGGATTTCCTTGTTTTTTTTCTTTTGAAGACGTTTCGCTTCTCATCCGAGAAGCTTCATCAGCTCTTCCCCACTATCCTGTCAGAGCTGAGGAAGCTTCTTGGATGAGAAGCGAAATGTCTTCAAAAGAAAAAAAACAAGGAAGCCCAGTTGCCTCCTGAAAAAACACCTTTGGGACTGACTCAATAGCGGTAACTGTGAGTGAGAATCTTGGAGTCCTAGTGGACAGTCACTTAACTATGAGCCAGCTGTGTGCAGCAGCTGCCAAAAAAGCCAACAACAGTTCTAGGGCTGCATTAACAGAGGGATAGAATCAAGATCACATGAAGTGTTAATATCATTTTATAATGCCTTGGTAAGGCCACACTTGGAGTACAGCACGGGTGGGTTCTAAATTTTTTTTACAATGGTTCTGTGGGCGTGGCTTATTTTGTGGGCGTGGCTTGATGGTCATGTGACAATTCTTTAGGATTTAGCAGAGGTACTAGTCTACCAGGCTTTTAACTGCTTGCAGAGCTGTACCGGTCTACTCATTTGTTTTTGGAGGCACTGGTCTACTCATTTGTTTTTGAAGGCACTGGTCTACTCGTTTGTTTTTGGAGGCACCGGTCTACTCGTTTGTTTTTGGAGGCACCGGTCTACTCGTTTGTTTTTGGAGGCACCGGTCTACTCGTTTGTTTTTGGAGGCACCGGTTTGTTTTTGGAGGCACCGGTCTACTCGTTTGTTTTTGGAGGCGCCGGTCTACTCATTTGTTTTTGGAGGCGCCGGTCTACTCATTTGTTTTTGAAGGCACCGGTCTACTCGTTTGTTTTTGGAGGCACCGGTCTACTCTTTTGTTTTTGGAGGCGCCGGTCTACTCGTTTGTTTTTGGAGGCGCCGGTCTACTCGTTTGTTTTTGGAGGCGCCGGTCTACTCATTTGTTTTTGGAGGCGCCGGTCTACTCGTTTGTTTTTGGAGGCACCGGTCTACTCGTTTGTTTTTGGAGGCACCGGTCTACTCGTTTGTTTTTGGAGGCACCGGTCTACTCGTTTGTTTTTGGAGGCACCGGTCTACTCGTTTGTTTTTGGAGGCACCGGTTTGTTTTTGGAGGCACCGGTCTACTCGTTTGTTTTTGAAGGCACCGGTCTACTCGTTTGTTTTTGGAGGCACCGGTCTACTCGTTTGTTTTTGGAGGCACGGTCTACTCGTTTGTTTTTGGAGGCACCGGTTTGTTTTTGGAGGCACCGGTCTACTCGTTTGTTTTTGGAGGCGCCGGTCTACTCATTTGTTTTTGGAGGCGCCGGTCTACTCATTTGTTTTTGAAGGCACCGGTCTACTCGTTTGTTTTTGGAGGCACCGGTCTACTCGTTTGTTTTTGGAGGCACCGGTCTACTCGTTTGTTTTTGGAGGCGCTGGTCTACTCATTTGTTTTTGGAGGCCCCGGTCTACTCATTTTGGAGGCCCCGGTCTACTCATTTGTTTTTGGAGGGCCCGGTCTACTCATTTGTTTTTGGAGGCACTGGTCTACTCATTTGTCTTTGGAGACAGCGGTCTACCACCACATTGCCTTTTAACACTGATCAGCTGTAGGGCGGCCCTTTGAAGCCCCGCGGCAAGAGTTTAAACAGTTTTTTTCCTTCTAGCTGAGCAGCTGGGACTCGGGAGGCAGCAATAGATTGGGGGTGGGGCCAAATAAAAGGTAAGAATAACGTGGGAGGGGGGCGGGGGGCAGGAGAGCCCAGCTCCTGAACAAAGAGAACCGGTTCAGTGACCTCATATCGTCACCGCTACCGGCTCGGCCGAACCGGGCCGAACCCACCACTGAAGTACAACATCTAGTTTTTCTCTCCACGATATAAATAAGATGCCGAGACTTTAGAAAGAGTGCAGAGAGGAGCAACAGCAGACAGCTGCATTGATTGTTACCTGGTGTCATTTACAGGTAATCCCTGGAGATAAACACAGAACTGGCTGAGGAATTCTGGGAATTTGAAGTCCACCTGTTTTAATGTTTGCCTGCCAGGTTCAGAAATTCTGGCCTGTACCAGTCAGGGGAAGCAGAGACCACCAAGAGGCAGAGGCAGACTAGCCATCGTTGCGAATCTCTTCCGCCTCTGCATTGAGAAACAGCGACAAAACAGACCAGGGTTTGCTTCTACACAAGCATCTCATTTGGTACTTGCTGGAATTCTTAGATCAGTGATGGCGAACCTTTTCGGCACCGAAAACAGAAACATCGCACGTGCCAGGACCGAGCTCCAGAAAAGCCGAACTTCCGGGTTCTAGTGCGCATGTGCGCCCGACGATCAGCTGGCTGGCGCACATGCGCACACTGGGTTTTGGCACTGCTGTGCGCATGAAGAGATCGCGCTCCAGAAAAACCGAATTTCCAGGTTCTAGTGCGCATGCACGCCTGACGATCAGCTGGCCGTTTTCGACACTGCTGCGCGCATGAAGGACAGCTGATCGTTGTACGCGCATGTGTGCCAGAAACCTGGAAGACAAACAGGCAAGGCTGCGCGTGCCGGGGGACATGGCTTCTCATGCCATTTTGGGCATGCATGCCATAAGTTTTCCATCACAGTCTTAGCCCATAAATTTGACCTTCCTTTCATAAATAACTAATGTTCTCAGTCCATGGTGCCCGAGCCTTAAAGTTTCTGCTCCAGACTCTGAGCAAAGTCTGTTTCTGGGGTCTCTTGAGACCACGCAGACGGTCCCGTTGGGATGCCTCTTACCTGGTGGAAGATCAAAGCTTGACTGATGTAGCCCCAGCTGCTGCTGGGGGACAGGTAATGGAGGGCCACCAGCAGGACGACCATGAAGGCCATGCTGGCCGAAGCGTAGATGGGGCTGATGAGAAACACCATCACGACACAGCCGGCAATGCCCAGCACACAGGTGTGCCACGTAAAATATTTGAAGGTGGGCCTGAGGAAGGAGAAGAGGTGAAAGGTTAGGATGCCTGGAATCTCTTATTTGGGTTGGTGGGTGGGTGGGGAGATGCTCTGCTTTTTTTGGGGGGAATTTTTATTTTTATTATTTTTTAAATCATAAACATAAAATACATCTTTTCAAAACGAAGCATTGATCCGGTCATAAATTGGTACAAATCACTAACAAATCTTAATTTTCAATGAACACAGCTTCATGTTTTACTCAATGATTTCCCTAAATTCTGTCTATTTAACAATGTCGTTAATAATATAATAATAATATAATAATAATAATAATAATAATAATAAATAATAATAATAATTATATTATTATTATTATTATTATTATTATTATTATTATTATTATTATTTTATTTCTATACCGCCCTTCTCCCGAAGGACTCAGGGCGGTGTACAGCCTAATTAAAAATACAGACAGACAAAATTTAAAAATAATTAAAATTATTAAATAATAGGCCCAATTTATAAAACCCCAAATTTAAAATCCCATTTAAAACCAATTAAAATCTTTACATTGATAGCCCAGCCTGGCGGAACAACATGGTTTTGAGGGCACAGCGAAATACACGGAGATCAGAGATTTTACAAATTTATCCCAAAAGTTATCCCAAAAACCCGTTACTTACGTCTTTAAATCCTAACCAAATATCATTCCATTTTTTCTTTTTCTTTTTCCTTAGATCAGAGGGTGGGCAAATGTGGCCCCTTTTACAACCTGTGGACTTCAACTCCCAGAATTCCTGAGACAGGAATTCTGGGAGTTGAAGTCCACAGGTTGTAAAAAGGGCCCCATTTGCCCACCCCTGACTTAGAGGAATGTATTTTAAAAATATAAATCTCTGCTTTGAAGTGTGTAATGCCAAGGTCTTGAACGACAGCTCCCAAGGCCCACATAAGAGGAGCTGATTGGAGTTGTAGTCCCACATAAACGTGGCATTCGTCTGTTTGCTGAATGCATCCCTTAGAACAATGATGACTAACCTTTTTGTCGTCACGTACCAAAAGCAGAGGGGGAGCGTGGGGAGGTCACCCACGTGCGTGCCCACACCCATCATTCAATGCACCCCGCCTCCGCGCATGTGCGTGTGAACCTCCACGCCCCCCCCCCCCCCCCTTTGCGCGTGCGATGGCACGATGGGCCCAGCAGGCCCGTTTTTCACCCTCCCCAGGCTCCAGATGCTTTCTAGGACCCTGGGGAGGGCTAAAACTGCCTTCCCCACCCCCTGGAGGCTGGAAACATCCCATTTCCCAACTTCCAGAAGGCCCAAAAATCAGCTGGCCGGCACATGCATGTGCGCTGGAGCTGAGCTACGGCAATGCTCGCGTGCCTACAGATATGGCCCCGTGTGCCACCTGTGGCACCTGTGCCATAGGTTTGCCATCACGGCCATAAAACATAGAATAATAGGGGTGAAAGATCCTTGGAGATCTTCTAGTCCAACCTCCTGCTCAGGCAGGAAACCCTACACCATTTCAGACCAATTGTTGCCCAGTCTCTTGTTAAAAACCTCCAATGATGGAGAACCCACAACTTCTGGTGGCAAGTTGTTCCACTGGTTCATTGGTCTCACTGTTGGGAACTTTCTCCTTAGTTCTAGGTTGCTTCTCTCCTTGATGAGTTTCCATCCATTACGTCTTGTCTTGCCTTCAGGGGCTTTGGAGCAGGGGTCTCCAACCTGGGCAACTTTAAGCCTGGTGGACTTCAACTCCCAGAATTCCCCAGCCAGCAAAGCCGTCTCCATGGTAGGGGGGGCCGCATGTCAGCTCCAGCGTGCTGTCGGCATGGAGCTGCCATTCTGGCTGGGGAATCCTGGGAGTTGAAGTCCTCCAGGCTTAAAGTGGCCAAGGTTGGAGACCCCTGCTTTGGGGAATATAGGTTGACCCCTTTCGTCTCTGGGACACCCCCTGAAATATTGGGAAACTGTTAACAGTTAATCCTCGGCTTAACAACCACAACAGAACCCAAAATTGCCATTGCTAAACCAGACAGTTGTTTAAGTGAGTTTTTGCCCCATTTTACGACCTTTTTCTTGTCGCCCCCTAAGTGAGCGGTCGTTAAGTTGAAGACTATCTGCAGGATAGCACAGGTTTACAACTTTGCAATTTTATGAAAACATGGGACGGTCCGTGTCCCCCCTCCCCCCCCTCACCCCCCCCTAGCCCCCCACCCCTATTGTGAATGCTCCACTGTCCAAACTGTGTTTGGGGTGGAATTCCAAGGGAGGTTAGAGGAAATAACAGTCTTTATTTAGGCTTCAACCTGCCGCGTCCCAGAAGACCTGCAGTTGGTTAATAATCTTTCAAGACAATGAATACATAATACATAACTTTTCCCCCCCAGTGGAACGATTAAGGGTGTGCAGCGCACTCATCTCTAACCACAAAGTACTTGTGTTGAAAAGGGATTCTGGAATTGCTGTCGGGCTACTTCTACGCATCTAAAATGAATGAATGGTCGTAGGAGGGGAAAGAAGAAAAAAAAAATTCCTTTGCGTACAAATTTTCATCCCGGATTTTCCTTTTCCCTGCCAAATTCATTCGTATCGCTTCTGGAGCGCCCTGGCATTTTGCACTGGAGAAGATAGAAAAATAAGTTCACCAGGAGCTCCTAAACTCAGGTTGAGGATGTGGTGGGAGGAAATGGGAGAAATTTCATCTTAAAAGGGAGGCAAGCTTGGTTGGGTGGTTAAGGCATCGGGCTAGAAAGTGGGGAACTATTGTCTGGAGAGATTCACAGTCATCCAGGTCATCTTCAGGAGATGGGGAGTTCTAGTCCCGCCTTAGGCACGAAAGAAGGCTGGGTGATTTTGGTCCAATCACCAGGGATGGGGAGTTCTAGTCCTGCCTTAGGCACGAAAGACAACTAGGTGATTTTGGCCAATCACCAGGAGATGGGGAGTTCTAGTCCCGCCTTAGGCACGAAAGACAACTAGGTGATTTTGGCCAATCACCAGGAGATGGGGAGTTCTAGTCCTGCCTTAGGCACGAAAGAAGGCTGGGTGATTTTGGTCCAATCACCAGGAGATGGGGAGTTCTAGTCCTGCCTTAGGCACGAAAGACAGCTGGGTGACTCTGGGCCAATCACCAGGAGATGGGGAGTTCTAGTCCTGCCTTAGGCACGAAAGAAGGCTGGGTGATTTTGGTCCAATCACCAGGAGATAGGGAGTTCTAGTCCTGCCTTAGGCACGAAAGAAGGCTGGGTGATTTTGGTCCAATCACCAGGAGATGGGGAGTTCTAGTCCTGCCTTAGGCACAAAAGACAGCTGGGTGACTTTGGGCCAATCACCAGGAGATGGGGAGTTCTAGTCCTGCCTTAGGCACGAAAGAAGGCTGGGTGATTTTGGTCCAATCACCAGGAGATGGGGAGTTCTAGTCCTGCCTTAGGCACGAAAGACAGCTGGGTGACTCTGGGCCAATCACCAGGAGATAGGGAGTTCTAGTCCTGCCTTAGGCACGAAAGAAGGCTGGGTGATTTTGGTCCAATCACCAGGAGATGGGGAGTTCTAGTCCTGCCTTAGGCATGAAAGACAGCTGGGTGACTCTGGGCCAATCACCAGGAGATAGGGAGTTCTAGTCCTGCCTTAGGCACGAAAGAAGGCTGGGTGATTTTGGTCCAATCACCAGGAGATGGGGAGTTCTAGTCCTGCCTTAGGCACGAAAGACAGCTGGGTGACTTTGGGCCAATCACTAGGAGATGGGGAGTTCTAGTCCCGCCTTAGGCACAAAAGACGGCTGGGTGACTCTGGGCCAATCACCAGGAGATGGGGAGTTCTAGTCCTGCCTTAGGCACAAAAGACAGCTGGGTGACTTTGGGCCAATCACCAGGAGATGGGGAGTTCTAGTCCTGCTTTAGGCATGAAAGACGGCTGGGTGACTTTGGGCCAATCACCAGGAGATGGGGAGTTCTAGTCCCCCCTTAGGCACGAAAGACAGCTGGGTGACTTTGGGCCAATCACCAGGAGATGGGGAGTTCTAGTCCTGCCTTAGGCACGAAAGACGGCTGGGTGACTCTGGGCCAATCACCAGGAGATGGGGAGTTCTAGTCCTGCCTTAGGCACGAAAGACGGCTGGGTGACTCTGGGCCAATCACCAGGAGATGGGGAGTTCTAGCCCTGCCTTAGGCACGAAAGCCGCTGGGTGACTTTGGGCCCCAATCACCAGGAGATGGGGAGTTCTAGTCCTGCCTTAGGCACAAAAGACAGCTGGGTGACTTTGGGCCAATCACCAGGAGATGGGGAGTTCTAGTCCTGCCTTAGGCACGAAAGCCAGCTGAGTAACTTTGGACCAGTCACTCTCTCTCTCAGCCTAACCCACCTCACAGGGTTGTTGTTGTGGGGGGAAATAGGAGGAGATTTAATGACGCAACCCCTTTGACCCAACTCCCCACACCGCGAAGCCCTCCCCTTCCAACTCTGTTATTCTATCTATTCTATTCTACTGAGACATATCAGCCCAAAAATCCATGTTCATGTCTCCTTTCTTTCCTCGCCACCCCCCAAAGTTGCTTATTTGTCTAACAACTGGAACACAAGTCTCAATTATCTCTCCGTAATAAAGGGAGCTGGGTATCCTCGGAAGGAGCGTTGGCATCGCTGGCACTGCCCGCATCCGGCACAGAAAGTATGTGATTGTTTTTAATTCCAGTTCTGGTTTTTAATTTCCAATTGCAGGGAGAAGGGGAGGGGGGGGGGAACCAGCGGAAAAGGCCATCAATCCTGCGCCGAGGGGGCAGTTTATTGTCAGGCAGGGCCGACTCCGGCGGCCTTTCGGCAACTTAATTAAATTGTTCTCATCTAACCCGCTGTCTTATCTCAATTGCGAAGGAAGATTTAAAAAAGGAGCCGAGAGATCTTCGGGCCTCGCTTGCTCTGGCCCACCCTCCCTTCGCCAGCTTCTCTTGAGCGGAGGGAAGGCGCCAAGCGGCGGGGAGGGAGGGCATTTTTTTTCGGCCAAAGAGGTTGTAGAAAAAATGCT